TCCTCCCCTCCTTCACACTAATAATGTAACCATAACAATAATAAATTATGATCTTTTACACATCTAAGCGAGGTACCGGTTACCAATTATCGAGAGGTACACGTTGTGCTCGGGCAGACCAGAAGGCCCGGAAGGCTGTATCCGGTTGGACAGCACGTCATCCGGGCTGCAGTAGTGAAGATACACCACAAGTATGACCGACAAGGGAAGAATGTGCATGACAACGACATAGCACTGGTCAAGATGGTTAGACCCGTGAAATTTGAACGCACCACCCAGCCTATTTGTTTGCCTATGATTAGTAAGCAAATTCATATTAAAACTAAACTGCGGAATACGTTAGTTGACTTGACAACGTTGTCTTATAAACCAATCCATAATATTATATTTTATAAATTGAATTTTCAACTATTTTTTTTTAACCATAATACCTATTGCTTACGTACCTCACGTTTGGCATAAGTGTTATAAATATAATACTATATATGTTAGATATTCTTGGGAAATTATTAAAATAGTAGATACCTACCATATTTTTAATATCTCAAATTAATAGACTAGAATGACATTATATAAAATAGATGCGTGTACAGTTGTAAAAAGCAACAATTATACGTATATGTAGCAACGAATCTAGAAATCTAGAACTGGTGGAGAGGGTAGAATATTATTTTCAGAAAATTTACAAATATAATTTAGCACATAATATTAGGTATAGGATTTATAATATTTTTCAAATTCATGACAAATTAGGCAATATAAATAATATATAATATATATAGCACATATAAATGGCAGATTTGACGAGAACGGAAGACCCCAGGATCCGAATGTTTGTGGCTACTCATTTGTTTTTTGAAATTAAAAATAAGAATTTTATAAGTATTCTACTGTTAACGGTTACTAAACAAAGTTAATGATAGTTGGTCAAAAATAGTGGGGTTGCCAATTTACTCTAAGCTAAGACGTTAGCTATTAAGCTGTTTTAACTATATCATCTATCTATATTATTATGAGAGTTCAATCACGTATCAAATTATAGGAAATTGATGTTTTTTTTGCAATTTCTACCTTTTTGATTTATTATTACCTCCATACATAAATCGTTTATCGTTGTCGCGATTATGATTCTTAGGGTACGACTACGGTGGGTTGACCGCGGCTGTGGCCGGATGGGGACAGTTGAGCGAGTACAGTGGCACGTCCCTGATTCTCAGGCATGCCACGCTTCCCGTGTGGACCGAAAAGGAATGTGCGGCCGTTCCCGAGATCGAGAAAACGGGATACACTCCCAATATGATGTGCGCCGGGCTCCGGGAAGGAGGAGTGGATTCGTGTCAGGTACTTTAGTGAAATATAAACATAATAATAAATATTTTTTTACCTATAAATACGCTTCACTACTTCCTAAATCCTAATTAATATCATTACCTATATAGCTACAACAGTATGACCGTTTTGATGTATCAATATAATATGTAGCTTACATTACCCAGGATACTACTTTATGGCATCCCTATTCCCTCATTACCTTCAGTAAAATACCTTGGTCTAACTCTMGATCAACGCTTAACCTGGGCTCAACACATACGTGAAAAAAGACTATCCCTAAACAATCGGCTACGTATGCTTAAGAATTTAATTGGTAACAAAGCCACCCCTATTAATATAAAACTCCTCTTGTATAAAACCTTATTAAAACCCATTTGGACATACGGATTGCAGCTAYGGGGAAATGCTAAAAAGTCAAACCTGAATAAGATTCAAGCTTTCCAAAATATGACCTTAAGGAAATTATTTAACGCCCCTTCATACATATCAAACCATACCCTATATTTAGATTGTAACTTAAATACTATTATTCATGATGAAACTAAACGTTTTTATAAAAAATGTCATAACTGTCTATCCTCTCATTCAAATCCACTCATTAAAAACTTATCATCCCTCTCAATCCCAGGTAGCCCTCCAAGGTGACTTAAACGTAAATGGTGCAGAGATTTATTACTTTAAATTATAACGTATAAGATATAACTAAATATTTAATATATATACATATATATAATTTAAATACTAATTTATGTAAATCATCCTATTGTTTGTTTCCCTTATCGCATACCTATATACTTATTATGTCTAAGATATAGATTGTATATTTTCTTCTTCTTCTTCTAAAAAAAAAAAGATTACATTAATAAGTAATAACGTTATATATAAGTCACTAAATTTGGTGATATTTTCGTACTAAGGATATTGGTTGATATCGGTATATTTCAGTATTGAGGTCAAATAGGTCGATAGGTATTAACTGATCTAAACCACCATAAGTGTAATTCGATACAAATTGAACGGCGTAACCCATAAAAACGAAAGCAGGGTTTATGGTTTTGGAGACTATCCGATTGAGAGATGTTATAACTGTTATAAGTACGGGTGAGTTTTGGGAATGTTTTCATGTAATCCACTATGTGGATGTATGAGATTGGATGTATGAGATCAAAGCATGTATATTGCAGTTGAGTCTCGTGTACCTAAATTTACATCTAATTCATTCTTAAAGTTAATCTAAGTGATTATGAAAAAGAATCTTATWACTATAGTTATAAAATACCGCCTAGTACGCTATAGCTTATATGAATAATTGAAAATGARCATTAGGCATCTCAAACTACGCAGAACTTAGGATAACTAACTTTAGTACCTAATAAATGATGTAAGTTGAAAATTCAATATTAATTAGCTGTTTTTCCGACTCAATCACGTGTACAGTGACACAGTGTACCAAGAAGTATTT